CCCCTTGGCTCTAACTCCTTATTTTCTGGTTCTACTCTGTCTCTTCCACTTTTGGCTTCCTAATTTTTGTTCCATTTAGCTGCTCTTTCTCTTCTCTCTCACCTCTGATGGAAAACAAGAAACTTCCAAAAGCTTTCAACCACTGTGGCACTTTGTGCTGTTCATCAGCCTCTTCCTCACATCCCCACAGTCCCTCTACCTGCTGGCCTGGCAGTTTCTCTGTAGTCTGCTAAAGAACCATATCTTCATATATACAGTGTTAAATATATAAAAATATATTTATAATATCTATTTCTTAATATTAAATATATTATTAAATATATTAAATATAACAGATGCATTTATATTGACTATATTTACATATTCTATATTTAACAGTTACAATAGTCACAATGTTTATAATAATGGTTGTTTGGATTTATATATTTTATATATTTGTGCATTTTTATGTAGTCCCTATATTTATATGCTATATATATTCATATATACTCACATTTTGTATAGTTAATAAATTTGTACATTATATATTTACATACGTATATATGTACATATATATGCATACATACATGTGTAATGCATATATAATACATATATTTATAAAATACATATACTGACGTATATAATACTGACATATATAATACATATATATACATATAATACATAAATATATATAATACATTTATATCTATATCTAAACATATATATATATATGAATTCATATATGTATGTGTATACAAATAAATATATATAGGAATTCCAGCAACTGCTGCATTCCTAAATTTTGCTGTTTTTAAAACTGTTGAAGTGCATTACAAATTGAGGCCAGTTCACGCTGGCAAAAAGACAGGTTAAGGTAAAAAGACAAACAATGCTTCAGTAACAAAGCAGTTGGTGTTTATTTATGTAAACACAGAAGGGCCTGGGTTGGAGGGCACCTTAAAGCCCATCTCGTTCCAACCCCCTGGCACGGACAGGGACACCTTCCACTAGCCCAGGTCGCTCAGAGCCCCATCCAGCCTGGCCTTGGACACTTCCAGGGATCCCAAAACAAACGGGGCATCCCAAACCAAACCGCAAACGACCCGGATTGCTGGATCCCAGCCCAGCTCCGGGCCCCGTATCCAGGCCCGTGCCCGGGGGCCGCCGCCTCCCCCTTCGCTGTGTCCGCGATCCCGGCGCCTCCCGCCCCGCTCCGCCCGGAGCCGATCCCGGTTCCCCCCGCGATCCCGGGAGGGCCGGGCCAGGGTCTCACCCGGAGCCGCCGCCAGGCCGCGTCAGGCGGGGCCGCCCGCGCTGCGCATGAGCCGGGGGCGGAGCTGCCGGGGGGGATCCCGGGATCCCAGGGGAATCCAGGGATCCGAGGGGGAACCAGGGATCGGAGCGGCATCCCCCGGGAACCGGGCACCGCCTCATGGTGCGGCGGGCAAGGGACGGGAAGGGCCGGGAAGGGCCAGGTGGTGGGAATGAGGAGGTGGTGGTGGTGGTGGGGTGGGGTCATCCCCGGACCGGAGTGCTGCTCATCATCTGAAGTACGTGGGAAAATGTATATCCGAAGGTATATG